AACGCAATATCTGCGAAGTGCAATAAAGCGAAGCACAATGAAACGAGGTATGCCTGTACAGGCCGCACTTGTACCAGCTCCCTCATTGAGGCCTCTCTCACTCCACTGCCTCTCACATGGTCTCTCTTACTGGCCCCCATGAGGCCACACTCATACCACCCCTCCTTTTCCACAGGGCCTCACTCATCGTGCCCTCACCCAGAGGGTTCTTGGGCTTGTTTCCCTGCACTCCCTGGCCAGCAAGTGCACGGCCTCTTGGGCCTCTCCCGTGACCCTCATCCAAGCGAGTGCTGGGTTGTTTGCAGAACACTGGGCTGGCTCTGCCTCTGGTCTCTCGCTGGGTCACTTACTCAGCTGCTGTCAATCAGGGGCTCCTGACTCTCCTGTTATTTACTTAGGGCTCTTCCTCAGTCGCCCCACCCAATTGGCCACTGGCCCACCTGTGGCCTCAGGTGCCTAAAGGCTTACCTGGACTTAACTCAGTCCCCATATTAGCAAGACCTACCCTCATACCCCTTGCTCACCAGGGCCCACTTTACGCCCCTTCCTCACAGGGCTTCATCTCAGGCCCCCGTGTTCACAGGGCCTCACCACTTGCCCCTCAGACAGACAGTTGGGTAAGAGCCCAGTGACTACAACTGAAGCCCTCCCAAGCTGCATGCAGTCTGCCAATTAGACAGCCCTGATTTACTTCATTTTCTTGAGCTGACAGTGAAAAACAAAAAACCCGGGGGATTGTGAGTGAAATATGATTCTCAAATCATATTTTGCTTACAATTACTTGTAACCCATATTAACAACTGCAATATTGCTACCACTTTAATACCTAGGTTGCCATGGTATCTCTATTTTTCATGAGATTAATAAAAAAACTGTTCAGTTTTACAGTTAAACATCTCAAAGTGAAGTTCTTACCAGGCAAGAAATTAAAGAGCTTCTTTACTCAGCACACTTGCTCCCTTGCAGTTTCTGAATCTCATCTGATTATTCTTGTAATGAAAGCAATTTTTCATTACATACAGA